CAGAGACGGAACTGGAAGTGAGGCAAGACTTTTAAACTCTCGAAGCTCACCCTCAGCGAGCTCCACCAAGGTTGCACCATGCCCCCATAACCTCTCCAAACAGCTCTACCAACAGGGCACCAAGTGTTCAAATGCCTGAGCCTATGGGGGTATTTCTCACCCAAACCATCACACCAGCCACTAGACCATGATGTGCAGCAACGAAGCGGGATATGTAGACTCCGCAAATCGACCACTCTGGCTTGTTAGAAAGCCAATACTGGGGACTGGGGAAGCAAGTCACTTAAGCAATCATGTCATATATACCTGAGGCCCTGACTCCTCTCCAGCAGCCCCTCAACCTCCTCCTTCCCTTTTCTCCATCACTGCCATCTCCCAAAGAGCGCAGACTAAGCAGGGTACCAGGGAGTCCAGGAGAGACACTAAGGAAGAGGGGTAGACACTGCTCTCAATGGCTGATGGGAGGCTGCTCAGCCAAGAGCAGAGGCAGTATCTGTTAAGGGAAGAAAGGCCATCATTATCAAGGCACCAACCAACAGCAAAACTTCACTGAAGACAGTGGACTCAGAAACAGGAGTATCTTTACATATATGAAAGGAAATGTATGTATTTGTCATTAAAAAATAAGGGGTAGTTTGACAGTGGCCAGAATACAGGATAGGCTAGAAAGATTTCCCTGGAGGCAAACGGGACGGCCCTAGAGAGGCATGACGGCCAGAAGCAAGGCAGATACAAGGAGGAGCGGACTCTTCAGTCTCACACTACCTCCTGCTGACTCAGTGCCTGGCCGCCTATTTCAACCTTAGCCCCAGTCATGGTGGGAGAATCCAACAGAGGGAGTATGCCAGGCTACTCTCTCCTCTGTGTCCTGGCCATCAGGGAGAGTTCTTCTGCGTGGAAGGTATCTGAAACATAGGGGCAGAGAGAGGTGGCCACTGTTGGCCACAGCTGCCACTGATCATCATCTCCGAAGACAAATATGTGTCGTGGTAAAGGAAATGCCCATTCTAGGCATTTGCCCACTATGTCCCAGAGTTCTCTGAAGGCAAGTTGTGGTGGTTTGAATAATTAACAGCCCCTATAGGCTCATATATTTGAATACAAAGATTAGCAGGTTTAGGAGATGTGGCCTTGTTGGAGTAGGTTTGGCTTTGTTGGAGGAAGTGTGCCTCTGGGAGTGGGCTTTGAGGTTTTAAAAGGCCAGGCTGGGCCCAGTGTCCCCATCCCCATCCCTCACCCCCCCCACCTTCTGCCTGTGAATCAGGACACAGCTCCTAGCTACTCCTCCAGCACTGTGCCTGCCTGCCTGCCTGCCTGTCTGCCACTGTGCTTCTTGCCATGATGATCATGGACTAAACTTCTGAAACTGTAAGCAGGCCTCAGTTAAATGTTTTCCTTTATAAGAGTTGTGGTGGTCACAGCGTCTCTTGACAGCAACAGAACAGTGACTAAGACCCTGGCTTCCTTCCATCCAGAGCTCAGTATCCTCCTTCTTCCTCAAGGCCTTTAGTCCCTGGCTCCAACTCTGTCCACCAAGCCTGCTTCTCTGTTAAAGCCCAAATGTTCCTCAGCCAAGTCAAATGCCACAGATCCCTTCTCTCTAAGCCCTAGTCTCTGCCCTAAGACACACCTCTAGTTCAACCTCCAATCTGACCCCGTCTCACAGTCCCCAGTCAAGTCTTAGAAAAGTACCGCCAAGTATGACTTCTCAGTGAGCTAAGCCAGCCGTGCTGGTGCACAGGGTATCAGTAAACAAATGGAGGCAAGAACGAGCAGCAGGAACTCTTCAAAATGTATTACGGTGGGGAAGAGGATTGTGGCACATGGCACGGAAAACTTCAGGATATGAATCTAAAACCTAACCCAGGAATAGGTAAGAAGGCACATAGCCTGGCCACACGAAACTTGGCTGGAACGAAGGAAGCCAAGTCTTACCCACCATGGCTGTGGTGGTCTCTTCAACCACCAAGGCCAACAGAGTAACGGTCCGAGTGAGGCAAGAAAGCAGCCAGATTCAACACAACTAGCAGATAGCCTTGGTTCAACTTTAGTAGCCAATACATCAGAAATTCTTTTTCATCTTCATACAATTATAATTTTCACTATTAGAGCCTTCTAAAGAGTACCTAATTATGCCAAAATCTGTATTATTACATTTGGATTGATCAGTTAGATTAATTCAAGCAAAATACCCCCCATTCATGTGACTAGATATTGTATCCATCTTTTGTCTAGACAACTGGTACCAAAGGATAAAAACAGTTTTTAACATGGTAAAACAACATCATATTCTCTTACAAGTGTGCCTTTCATCTCCCCTGGCAAAAGGCATTTGGATTCTGTACTGACAGGCTGAGAATTAACATGTAATATAGTCAGTTGACATAACAGCATCATTTTGGGGGTCAGTAAAATTATGTCCTTGTGGTTTCCCCAAAGTCTTGGCTTGACAGGTTAAAATCTTGATGTTTCTCCAAGTTATTGGCTTACTCTTTCTCTTGGGACATCTCCTTTTGATGGATCTGTTGTCTATCTTTAGACATTTCATTTGTCTGCTGGTCTCTGTGATGCTGTCCTTGTTGGATGTGTCAGGGCAGGAGTCATCTGGGACTTCATTGCTTTTCTGTAAGATATAAGCATAACCTTGCCTCGATGTTAGACCATCGGGCCCTTCTATTGATTAGATTTTTACATTTTTTTAAGCATATACTTGAGGTAGTATCTCCTTTAGGGCAAAATGCTTATGGGAAGCAGAAAAAGCATTATCTCTTTTACAGTGAAAAAAATTAAAGTCAGTATAGCTAAATGTAGTATAGTACATGGGAATTTAAGTTTGTGTGTCAGTGTTTGATTGTGTGTTGTTTTACAATAGTTTGACACTGTGGATTGTAAGGGATTTCAGGAATGTGATTAATATTCCATAAATTATAAAATTTTAAAGTGTTTGCTAGTATAAGCAGGTTCATTATCAGTTTTTAGTTGTAATGGCAGTCCTAGGAAGGCAATGTATAAAGACCCAGTTGACAAAATCAAGTTCTAGATATGACACAATGGTATTTTCCTGGAGCCCCCCAGGGCCCCAAGTCCTGTCTGGGACTGTGCTCTGCAGGTGACTAGGGAGAGGCACTGTGCATGTCTTTGTTGGTCTCTACACACCTGACAATAGAGATGGTCCTAGACACAGACAGCCCTAGTTCTAGATGTCAAGCTGATATGAGAACTACTCACTACAATTACTCACTAGAATTCCATGTAAACTAAGCCTTCAATAGAGGACAGGCTCTCATGAGCCTCCTCTAACTTCCTCCCTGCTCAAGAGTCTGATTATTTATGTTAGACCGAGGGCAAGCACAAAACTAAAACAGAAGTAGAACTTACTTAATTCACAACGGCCATTAACCTTTAAAGATTTGAACCTAAGGCTATTTACATAAGATTTGGGATCTTTAAATTTAGGCAAAATTTAATCTTGAGTTGGAAAAGACTGCCCATTATTAGGTAATAGGTTATTCAGGAGTACCTGAGAAACAATCACAGAAAATTCTGAAGGAGAAAACAATTGGGTTTTCCCATGTGAGCACGAACGTACATATCTAGCTAATACTGTAAACCAAACAAAAATGTGAACAACATCAAAGTACACCAGCTCCGCAGTAGAGGACCTTCCTAGAAGGCTCGAGTTCTTACTACATTTCACAGATTCTCAGTCTGCACCAAAAATAATTGTAGGTGAAATTTTTATAATAATCTAACTCATATTGATTACATCTCTGGTTTAACCCCTTCTACCCTTCCAAGGAAATTTAAGAAACATGAGATTGTTTTCAGTCCTTGGCCACTGTATTATCCAGAAGAAACATTCTAAAACATTTTATTGATTCCAATTTGACCTATTTTCTCACCTTAAATCACATTGCTATTTTTAATTTTTTTGTTGTCTTACAAAAACACAAATTTAAAAAATGAAATTTTAGTAATCATAAATACAAAGGAATCTGGGTGGTGTTTGGTCTCTCAGTGCCTGAAAGGCCTGAAGTGAGAAAGTCTCCATTTTTTTTTATGGAAAGACAAGATAAAATTCCTTATTTTGCTAAGACTGTGAGAGTATCACTAGATGGATGCATGCCTCTTCCATCAGATTGCACATGCCCTGACCAAGCTTGTCTGGGTTACCTCCAGGAAACCAGAGAAGCAGTGGAGTCCACATGACCTGCAGAAAAAACAAAAATTCTTTTCTCAATGATCCTCCGAGCAATTTACTACTAACTCCAGCTTGCAAAATAATTGACTGGAATTTTATCTTCTCTTTAATGGGCCCTTTTTTACATTAGTTCCTCTCCATTTCCAATTTCCTTTTTTGGTTTATTGAGACAGGATTTTTCTCTGTGTAGCCCTGGCTATCCCAGAACTTTCTCTGTAGACCACCACCGCCTGACTGCATTTCCAGTGTTACTTGTTCAGGAAGCCAAGGACTGAATTTTACAGATACTTGTATGGAGCTGCAGAGCTATTGCTCTGAATATCTTGTTTCTCTGGATCTTAACAAACATCTCAATAACTGTATCAAATGCTTTGTCTCAGAGGACTGAGAAGAACCCAAGCTTATTTTACTATCTTACTTACGGTTGTGACCTCTTGGGCGAGAGGACCGAACTCCTACCCCGATTCTATTAAAAGAAAAATCTTACCTTCTCCAAGAGTTGAGTTGGTCGCCAGTTGTGCTCACATCACCACTGGGTGCCCTGATGGTAGCCATGCCATGCTTATGCTGCCACCGCCATGTTAGTAGCCATGCCATGCTTATGCCACAACCGCCATGAGAGTAATGATCCAGGTGAGGCAAAAGGGAAGTCTAGTTCAACATGACTCAATAGCCAGTGTTGGTTCAAACTTTTATTTTATTTTACTTTATTTTATTTTTGAGACAGGGTTTCTCTGTGTAATCCTGGCTGTCCTGGACTCACTCTGTAGACCAGGCTGGCCTCTAACTCAAAGATCCACCTGTCTCTGCCTCCCAAAGTGCTGGGATTAAAGGCGTGCGCCACCAACGCCCGGCTAAGTGTTGGTTCAAACTTCAAGAGTCTGACACCAGGTAGTTTATTTTAGGCATATTTAAGCACAGCAAAATTTGGTGAAACAGTTTTCTGGTGATAACACAATCCTGTGTGCACAATAAAGTACATGTGACATCTCCATAATGATGGGTTCTATAGATTGACTACACGAGACAGTTTTTTAAATTTTTATTTATTTGTTTTTGGTTTTTCAAGACAGAAAGTTTCTCTGTGTAGCCCTGGCTGTCCTGGACTCACTCTGTAGACCAGGCTAGCCTCGAACTCAGAGATCCATCTGCCTCTGCCATACAAAAGCTGGAATTAAAGACATTATTACCACACACACACACCCCACTGATTGACCACAAGTCACATCTTAAGGATCTAGGGGAGGCTCTGGCTTGGTCTTGGTCATACAGATAGCACAAAGGTCAGCAGAATATTAAACACATCCACTCCCAGCCTTCTGGGTGGAAAACAGTTATACATCTCTCCCTTTGAAGAGACGACCCTGCGTGTTTAATATTCCTGGTTTCACCTTGGTGCTCACCTGTGAGAACAAGGACCTTGGTGCCACATGGCATTCTGTGGCTCTAAGGGGATAACTTTGTTCCCCAAGTCTCTAGAGTCAAAGCCCTTCCCTCTGCATACTCACCAAAGTGAAAAGGTGTTCCTCCATGGTGGGCAGTAAGGTCTGGGGGGGGCACACAGTGTGACAGCAACCTTGTTCTCCTCGCTATGTGGCACCCACGGACACCACCAACATAGCCTAAGGCAGAAAGTCAGGCAAAGCCAGCAGTTTATGATTTCCATTTCAAAATGCATATTCTGACCCAGTCATCTGGCAGTAGCTCACCTGAGAGAGACTCCTGCAGGCGATCATGGTGAGACGTTCAGTGCCCCATTCCCTGCGCTGTCTTACTGATTTGATCCTCCCTCACTGATGGCAGTGAGAATGCTCCTAATTAATGAGGGATAGAGTCAATATGAAAACAAGTCCTATTCGTCTAGAACAGTTCCCTACAGAACAACTGAGCAGCAGTCATTAATGGCAAAGACACAGTTCAGAGGCTCATTCTCAGGGCTCCTCCCACCAAGGTCCCTCTATCCTGCAGCCTTCCCTGCTGGGGTCATTAGTGGCCTGCATCTCAACCCCAAAGTCTGTCCCTCTCATGCCCCCCTCCTAAAACAAATCTCCTTTCATCCATTTAGTCACATTTCCTCAAAGGCCCACTCAGGTACACCAACTCCAAAAGATGGCTTCTGCCAGGCATGGTGTTGCACGCCTTTAATTCCAGCACTCTAGAGACAGAGGCAGGAGAATCTCTGTGAGTTCAAGGCCAGCCTTAGCTACAAAGCAAGATGCAGAACTAAAAAGAGAGACCCTGTCTCAAAAAAAAAAGAGACAGAAAAAGATAGCTTCTCTATGAACCTTGTAGTAGTGAGTACATATCACCCATTATGTTTAACTCACCCTGACCTTTCTAGATTCTAAAGAGTCAAAACCTTGCTCTCTGATAGCAGGGAGACAAGCTGAGAAGGCCAACCAAAATATCTCCTATAAAGGAATGGTGGCACACATCTTTTTTAATCCTAGCACTTGGGAGACAGAGGCAGGTGAGCTACATAGCAGGGCCCTGTCTCAAAATGAACAGACAAAACAAAAGAAAACCAAGATGCCTCCTATCACGGACACTTACACAGTAGCCCATGTCCCACAGGGAGGCTGAAATGTTGGGCAAGTATGAAGCAGGAGTGTGTGAAAGCGCCAGCATTTGCGAGGGATAGGAGGGGACCCTCCAAACACGGGAAATGGCTTTCAGCAACTCCTCTCCCTGCATTATGGATGACCAGAGCACAGGAAGTCCCTGGTCACTTCTAAATGCAGGTCTACACACGGGAACAGACATCAGGCCAAGAAGAGGTGCAGATACCAGAGGCCTGCAGCCTAAGTCCAGGAAAAGCAGCCAGCCAAGCACAGGCCCCCATAGTGGTCTTTCTCTCCATAAAGCCTCATGGTCTCTAGGCTGGGAACTAGTAGGAACTGGGACAGACCATGTGTGCCCAAGTGGAACAAAAGTCATTTCTGTCATTCCTTTATTTTTCAAATACTGAAAATGAAGTTCTGAGTTGATCTTTGACTAAGAGTGACAGACCCGGTTTTCCATGTTTAGTCTATCCTTATTTCATCACTCAACGCCCTTGACAACGTGCATGGTGCTGTATCAGATGCAAGGGACCCATAGTCCAGAGAATGAACTAGACACGAGATCTACCTCAAGTACAGGTGGGTCTAGAATGTTCCTGACAACTCCCATAATGCTCCTGCATACACTGGATTCACCTGCAAACAGTATGAAACTGATAACAGCACGCAGCTTGCCATTGCTCACAGCAGGACACGTATGAGGAAAGGGGTTGGAACAGGAGCTGACAGACAGTAAGCATCCCAAAACTGTTGGCTCTCATTTCCACAACAAACCCATTGCTCCCTCTGACCCCTACAAAGCACCTTGTGTATGGTCTACAGCAGGGCAATTGCCACCAATTATACCACTAAGTAACCCCCAACAGGATGAAATGGGTGCAAACAGCAGGTGTGTGGGAATGTGCCACTGTGGACTGACAATGACCTTGCTGGTCATCTAGGAGAACTTAATACCCAGGGCAGGAAATAAAGGCCCCAACGACAGCAATGGCATACGTGTGGGTAGCTCCAGTACCCTAGAGGCCCAAGTGTGTGTAGAGTTGAGAAATCACAGTATGGGAAAGCCTCCAGCAGTAGAAGGCACGGGTGTGGACCTTCCAAACACAAGACCGTTCTTCCCACGGTTCCTCTGCCTGCACTACCAATGACCAGGGCATGGGCTCCCCCTGATCACTTACAAATGCAAGGCCAGAGAGGGCAGAGGGCTTGCTGTCAAATGCAGAAGCTGAGAGCAGTCAGCTCAGCCGAATACAAGGACCGAGGAAGTACATCTAATCCTATAAAAATTCCTTCCACAAGGCCAACAGGTGAGACAGAAGGAAGTCACACCTCAAGAGTTCTTAGGTTGTGGAACTTGGGTGAGGGAGGGGTGCTCCTGACCCTGAGGAAAGCAGCCTAGTTGTTCTGCTTTCTGGAACATAAGACTTTGTGCTGGCGAGTTTAATGTTAGTTTGATACAAAGTACAGTTATCTTAAAGGAAGAAGTCCCAGTTGAGAAGATGCCTCCATAAGATCCAGCTGTAGGCAAGCCTCTAGGGTCATTTCTTAATTAATGACTAATTGATGGGGGAGGACACAGCCCATTATGGGTGGGGCCATCCATGGGGAAGCCACGAGGAGAAAGCCAGTAAGCAGCATCCTCCATGGCCTCTGCATCAGCTCCTGCCTCGAGGTTCTGGCCCTGTTTGAGTTCTTGTCCTGACCTCCTTCAATGATGAATAGTGATGTAGAAGTGTGAGCCTAATACACCCTTTCCTCTCCAAGAGGCTTGGGTCATGTGTTTCGTTACGGCAGTAGAAACTAACTACAGACAGACCTGGGTACAGGGGTTATGACGCAGCATCCTTCCTGCTTTCTGATTCAGAACTCTGCTGCTAACCCACCAAAGCAAGGAGGATCATGGAAGACTCAGGACCCAAGCCCCCACGACAGGAATCAGAGGTACATCAGCTGCCCAAAGGAGAGTGAAACTGGGGCACCGGACGCAGTCACCTTCATCTTCTGTCCATTTAGTTCCGGGGAACCTGTGCGCATTCCCCCCTTCACCATCTTTTTATTTATTTGTTTATTTAAATTGTTCGCTTGTTTGTACATACCAACAACAGTTTTTCCTCCTTCCCTCCTCTCCTCCTCATCCCCCCTGCCCCCATTCACTCCTCTTTCCATGGGAGTCAACAAATCTTGTCCCATCAAGTTGAGGCAGGACCAAGCCCCCCCCCCCCATCAAGGCTGGGTGAGGCATCCCAGCATGAGGAATAGGTTCCCAAAAGTCAGTTCAAGTGCCAGGGACAGGCCCAGATCCCACTTCTAGGAGCCCCACGAACAGACCAAGCTACACGACTGGGGAACAGCCATCATAAGCACAGACCTTACCATGGGAGCGCTGCTGTCCCGCTGCTTCCTGTCGGGATAGGGATAGAGATGCCTCTCGTGGCCCCTCTGCACCAAGGTGTCAGTTCTGCAGTAAACAAGAAGCGCTTAAATAAGTATCTGTCACCTGGTTAAGTTGGTCCTGGGCAGCACATGAAGAGGTCCCAGTGCAATCGCCACATAGAACAAATACAGGGATGCTGGATTACTCGTGACGCAGCCTTTTCCCATGACGCAGCATTTTCCCGTGACGCAGCGTTTTCTCATGGAAAAAAGAAAGACGTTGGCAGTATCAAAGCACAACAAATCATCTATTGACAGAGCACTTTTCAGATCTATGATAAACTGCAGCGGTTCAAGAAGGTTCCTTTATCCTGTCTCCTGTCAAAGAACCTCAAGTGGAAAAATACTGGCTGATTGTCAAACCACTGCCTCCGAAGACCTCAACCCTGCTCAATCATCATTTCAGATAAGACCCTACCTGCCCTCCACAAGGAGACCAGTTTAGGGTCAAAATGAGAAATCAGATTCATTCACATCACAGATAACTGCAGAGGTGCCACGCGGCCAGACAGCCAGACACAGAGCTGTCTTTGCAGCTTCCCTATCTGAGACGGAAGGAACTGGATTCACAGCTCCCCACTAGGCTTCCCTGCACAGGGTCTTTGCTGGGCTGTCATCAGAACCTGGTTGATCTCCACCTCACCCCTCTGTTGACGCCCAAGGAGAGGTGGCACTCTGGCTTCAGGGTACACCCGCAGCACTTACCCGGACTCCTGCTTCCTGGACTGTGGCTCCCACCTGAGAGTGCGAAGAGTCGCGGGGAGGAGCGTTGGCTGCCGCAGACCAGCTTCATCATCCTTCGTGGTGTCAAGAGGGTCTCCCAGCTAAGGCCCGGCAGGGAAGCAAGCACTGGGAATGGGGTTTCACCTCAAGGAGCCACACCGGAGTGCGTCCTAGGGTCCTGGGCATCAACTTGAAAGGATGCACATCGGATCGCAGGACAACAATCCGAGAACCCTATGTAAAAAAGGACAGACGGCTTCGGATGCCACATCAAGCCCAAGGCACCGACGCTCAGCCCCCAACCCTCCACCTCCGCCCAGGAGCATTGGCACCACGTCCCCTAGTCGCCCCCCACCCCACCCCCAGGCTATCTTCCCAGAGGTTGGGCCACCATCAGACCCCAGAGGCCGAGGTCCAAACCCACCAACGAACTCCTCCCCGTACCTCGAGAAGTCCACAGCCAGCAAGGGTGGGAGGATCAAACCCACATACTAGCCTCCGGGGTCCTGGGTTTCCCGAGTTAAAGGAGACCGAAGGCCTTGGAGGCGGCCAAGAGCGCAGAACCGACGTGACTCACCTACGGAGCTGAGATGTGAGGTAAACAGCGCGAGTGCCGCAGTGTAGGACTGCGCAGGACTCTCCTCAACGCCGCAGCGTCTACCCAGCTGCGGCTGCGCGCCCTGCCGTCTCCAGCTGCACCCAGCCAGTGCGCGTGGCTCTGCAGCGTCCTCTGCTGGAGTAGAGCTGAAATGCTAAGCCGCCAGCAAGGCTCTCCTTCCTTATGTCTAGCTTCCATTCTACCAAACCATTTATTCCATCCACCTTTCCATGCTTCCGTTTTGCCAGAAAATAAGTGTGGAACATTAGCTTCCTTTCATTTCATTTGTCATCCATCCTGTTGTCCCATCTATGTCCTCATGCATCTAAATATCCATCTACCCTCCCACGAATTGGGACTCATTTACCATGTATGCGTCTATCTGCCTGTCTGTCTATCCATCCGCTCAACTTTTCATTAATCTACCCATCTAGCTTTGCACCCACCCAAAATATCTACTGAGGAACTACTTTGTATCAAGGGCCAGACTATACACTAGAAATAAAAGGTGTAAGACAGACATGATCCCTAACTTGGTTAAAGTTTAATGGACATGAAAACAAATAGGCCAGAAAATTTGATCGTTGAAAAAATCATAAGGGCAGCCGGGTGGTGGTGGCCAGGCTGTTCTACAAAGAGAGTTCCAGGATAGCCAGGGCTGTTGCACAGAGAAACCCTGTCTCAAAACACCCCCTCCCCCTCAAATTGTAAATGCTACAAAGGAAATAGGCATAGCCCTAGGCAGGTTGTGACAGCGGTGACCTATTTATCCAGGGTGGACAGTAGGGCCTTCTCTGAAGAAAAGACATTTAATCTAAAGCCTGATGGAAAATAAGGAATGAATCATAAAATTGTCACTATATTATAAGCAGGAATATATTGACAAGTGAAGTCAAGTGGAGACAAAGTTCTTGCAAATAGCTCAACAATGTTTTCTTGTTTTGGTTTGATTTGGTTTTCTTTATACTGGGTCTATACATATCCCTGGCTGTCCTGAAACTTACAGAGATCTAACTGCCCCTGGCTCCTGAGTGCTGGGATTAAAGATGTGTGCCATCATACCTGGCTCTTTCTTGTGATTTTTTTTTTTTTGGTTGGTTTTTCGAGACAGGGTTTCTCTGTGGCTTTGGAGGCTGTCCTGGAACTCTGTAGAACCAGGCTGGCCTCGAACTCACAGAGATCCGCCTGCCTCTGCCTCCCGAGTGCTGGGATTAAAGGCGTGCGCCACCAACGCCCGGCTTTGTGATTTTTTTTTAAATGTTGACTTATTTATGTATGCACGTGTGTTTGGTGGACACACATGTGCCATGGTGTACATTTAGCTATCAGAAGACAACTTCCAAGAGTTGGTTCTCTTCTTCTACCATGTGGCCTAGGATTTGATCTCAGGTTATCATTGTTGGCGGCAAAACCTTATTGGTTGAGCCACCTAGCCCAATCTAGCCATGATTTCCCAGTGTGATATAAATGCAATGCCTGTTCTCAATGCAACAAAGGAATACAGCTAACAGCCAGTACTTTTGAACACAAAAATTTTTTTCAGGCATTTTGACCCATTTAATTATTATGCCAGCATTATGGGCATAATGGATTTCCTCCCCTAACTCCATTTTGTAATCCTACCTCCTCCCATGGGGTTGGAGGGTGGAGGGAATTTGCTTCTCCCTTCTGCCATTTGGAGACAATGTGGAAGGCAGCCATCAGCTTGTGATACAGGGATTGGGTGGAGGTGGGGGCTTGACAGTTACTAAATCTACAGGGTCCTTGACCTCAAACTTGCAGTGTGTCACTGTGACAAAATACTGGGGAAATCAACTTAAAAGGGGAGAGACTTGTTTTAGCTCTTGGTCATTTGGGTTTGTGGTTTCTGGGCCTGTAGTGAGGTACATTGTCAAGTGGTCATGCCAAGGAGCACCTGATGAAAACAAAGCTGTTTGGAGTGGCCAGAGAGCAAAAGAGAAAGGGGGGCTTCAATCCCCTGCCCATGCCCCCCAGTCACCCTTCTTCCTTCTACTATGCTCTACCTACCAAGCCATTAGCACATGGTCTTTGGGGTCATTGCTATTCAAAGGATAGCATCTAGACCCCAGAACCACAAGAGAGAGATTTCTATTGTTTATAAGCCGTCCAGTTTATAGCATTTTGTTATGCCAGTTCAAATGGATTCAGAACCCAATTCTATAAAGTAAACATTAGCATCATTCCATTTGCTGGTAAGATAATAAAAGTTGGAACCATTTGGTGAACTTATTCCATTTTATATAGTTCACATGTCAAGAACTGCACATGCTCTAAGTGTCAACCATACTTACAAGCTGAGAGTTTACTGATATTAACAGAGGACAGAACTGTATTACTCTTGAAAAAAGCCGTAAACAGAACAGGTCAGGGAGATGGCTCAGTGGTAAAAACATTTGTCACACAAGCATGAAGGTCAGGTGGAGACAAGGGGACCTCAGAGCAATGCATGAAGTAGACGAGCAGTCAAGGGAGGTTCCCAGCATCAACCTTGGGCCTCCACATATGTGCACACACACACACACATACAAAAACATGCGTGCATACCACACACAGAGGAGCCAATGGGGGTAGGCAATAGACAAAGCTCTGTGTGCTGGTTGGTCCCTAGTGCTTTAGTGCCTTGGAATCTAGAGTAGGGGTGGCACAGTAGCCCTGCTGTGGATCTACACCTGGTGTTTGCTGGGAAGTCACCATTTTGTAGAGAGCAGAACTAAACTGTTTTTAGTTTATGATGGTGTTTACCTTATCTCATAAGGTCACAAGCTGCAAACCCCTAAGAAAATGCCCAGATCGTCAGCAGTCAGGGCTTTACATTGGCTTCTACCCAGCAGTAATGTGCACAGATGTTCAGGACCCACTGCAGACAGCCCTTCCCAATGGTAGACAGAACAGTCATATCAGACCCAGAAAGTAATCCAAGGGGTGATAGGGTCTCACGGGCGGGATCAGCATTCATATCTCTGCTCTTTGTACCGTATGATACATAGCTCTCTGTCCTGCAGTTGAAAGTTGTCCCCAGCCACCTCCTTGTGCCTTGATCTTGTTGTTGCAGGCAGAGGAACATGGAAAATTCTCTGGGTTACAAGGGCCCTTGACCATTCCTGGGGACCTGGTGCTTTTTATGTATATGGCTTCCCTTCTGCCCAAATGTTCAGACCTCAGAGACTCACAGACTGTGGTTTCCTTGTGTAGCCTTTCTTTTCTTTTCTAAAGTAAATGTACAGGTTTTTTTTTAAAGTTTTTTCCTTTTTTTCCTGAGACAGGGTTTCTCTGTGTAACAGCTCTGGCTGTCTTAGAACTTGCTTTGTAGACCAGGCTGGCCCTGAATTCATGGAGATCCTCCTGCCTCAGCTTCTTGAGTGCTGGGATTGAAGATGTGGGCGACCACCGCCCTGCTAAAGTTATTTTTAGTATTTGTAAGTGTATGCATGTGTCTGTGTGTGAGTGGGTATGTGCATATGAACCCAGGTCCTCTGGAAAGCAGTACATGTATTTACTATTTAATCCCTGAGCCTTCTTCCCAGCCCCTTGCTTTGTCTTTCTGAGTTGATTTCTTGACTAAATTCAGACTGTTTGAGTCAAGGTTTATTTATCCCCAGAATATGGTTAACTGTAAGGGATGACCAAAGAACACAGAGCATGATCCTGCCTCACTAACCAGGAAAATTGTAACTAACCATCGTAGCACTGGGTGTGATGTTGGACACACATGGGAATTGCCCGGGTTTCCAAAGAAAGATAGCTTCTTTGTGGGAGATGAGTTGGAGGGTTTTGTAGAATTCAAGGTAGTAAGGGGCAGAAGGGGAGTTGTCAGGGCCAGGAAGGAAAGGGAGAACTCAGAAGCTGCAGTCCGAAAGGAATCAGGAGCCCATGTGCTGGTGTGTGGGCAGTGAGGAACCAGATGGAGCAGAACCACTCCGTCTTGTGGTCTGGCCTGAATCCCTGACAGAAGAGAAGAGCGAGCGGTGCTCACCGTAGCTCACTGCAGAATGAATGACCTCATTCTGAAATAGGAGAAAAATCCCTTGTGCCCAGTCTACACTTGCTCCTACGGCCAGAAAAATAAATGAAAGAAAAAATGAATGAAAGGATGAATAAACGGATACGTAAATAAAACTAATGAACTGGGAGTGGTGATGCTTGCCTGTTATCCGAGCACTCAGGAGGCAGGGGCGGGAGCGTCTATTCAAGGCCATCTGAGGCTACCTAGCAAGTTTGATGCCACTCTGGGCTGCTCAAAACCCTGTCTAGAACAAAACCGAAAACCACCAAGGGACATACCTAGGTGTGTAGAATGATGGACTAGTATGAATGAGAGCCTACATTCAATTTCCAGTAAAAGCTGAATAAATAAGTAATTTGGGACTGGAAACCAGGCTCAGCAGTTAAGAGCATGAATTGCTCTTAAAAGAAGACCCAGGTTTGGTTCCTAGCACCAACATACTGGCTCATAACCATCCATAAATCCAGTTCCAAGGGATCTGATACCCACTTCTGACTTCCATGGATACCAGGCACACACAAGGTACACATGCATATATGCAGGCAAAACCCTCATACTAAAAAATAGGTAGAAAATCTCACTGTAAATGTGGGTAGCATCATTCTATGGGTCTGAGAGAGAGAGGGAGAGAGAGAGAGAGAGAGAGAGAGAGAGAGAGAGAGAGAGAGAGAGAGACAGAGACAGAGACAGAGACAGAGACAGAGAGAGGCGGCACAGGCACAGAGAGAGATAGCAAGGGGAGCGCCAGCATTGTCTTTCTCTGCTTCCTGATTTCAGATGCAGTGCAACCACCTGGCATTACTGCCTGACATTCCTGCCACCTCAATGGAATGTAACCTAAAACTGTGAGCAAAAAGAAACCTTCCCTCCCTAAGGGGCTTATGCCAGGCATCTTGTTGCAGCAATAAGAGAAGCAATGACTCAGAAGGTAACCAAACGTTGTGCTTGGAATCCAAGAAGTAAAGGACTGCATTTCCCAGGAAACCCGCCTGTAGCTTGCACATTCTCC